GGCAGTGTTTAATATAGTAGTTCAGGTTAAGATTTTCAAGTCCTGCTAGCCATATTATTTTAATAAACCTTGAGATTTGTAATGGGGATCTATTTTTCTATGTTGTAGGACATTGATATACACAAATCACTTTGGAGGGTCAACTCACCAATATTGACTACTCAAATTAAAGGAATGGAACTCAACACTTCATAAATTCCCTAGATGAAACCTAGTCAGTCAATAAAAACCTTAGGTCCAGCCCCTAAGGATTTCTAAAAATGTTAACGTTTAATTTTTAATATAACAAAGGGGAAAGATTATTTAACACATGACTCAAAATAAATTGTATTAATTGTATTAAAATTAAATTAAATTTAAGTAGAATTAAAATTAAATAAACTTCACATTACTTTTGTAGAGTAGGTCCTGAAATGAAATCAAAAGTGAAATTCAGCGCTCTCTGGGTATCCACTGTATATATTTTGCATTCACAAAGTGCAAAATTGGATTAAATATGAATTTCTTCTAAAATTATTACCTTTAAGATTGTGTGTTTTTGTATATGCATTAGAAATCTACAGCAAAATTAAAAAGTTTGTTTTGCATATGATCAATATTGAATTGTAAGAAAAAATATTTCCCTTATAGTTTGAAACACAAAGAAAAATACCTTGCCCTCTTTAAGTGATTCTCTTAATTATACTTTAATTGGGTGGTGGAAAATCCAACAATGCTACATATTTTGAGTTAATCTCCCTTTGTATTTTCATCTCTCTCTATGATCATAATTTGATTATATTAGTGGAATTCTTTGTGATTACATTCTCTAGTGAAAAAAAAAAGTTTGAACACAATACGTAAAATTACAGATTTAAAGACTGCTTATTTGTACTTTTTCAAAGAAGTATTATGTAATTTAAAATTTTACTTTGAAGTAAAATTTGATAAGAATACTTAAGCTCAAATGATATATTTATGAAAGGGTGATGCATACACATTTTTAACCTTTTTGCCTTTCTCTCCCACTTCCCCCAAGAATGCAAGCAAAGGTTTGTTTGTTTATTGTTGGAGAAATGGAAGTTGATGTATATACGCATCTCTTATAATACATTGAATTGAGAAAAATAGTGTACTTGCAGTTTTGATTTTTAATAGAGTTTGAACTATTGTATTAAATTTTGCTACTGAGATCAGCATTTTCAAGAGAGCAAGCCTCTTGCTGTATAATTTGAAGATGTTTGATATAGCTGGCATTTATGATATATAGTTCATTTATATTTAATGTGCATTTTACCCATAATATAAAATCCCTTTGTAAAACAATTTGAAGTTTTGCATTCAACAGATTTCTAAGTAAAATCCAAATTCTACAACTGATCTTACATTTATCCCAGTAGAAATCTGATGAATCATTTTCTTTTCTAGAAAATCTCCCAGTATGTTCCAGTAAGTCCCCTCTGTAGATCTGAATGTCCACTGGAGTTGCTCAGGAAAGATAAGAGTATTACTGTTCACTTTATCCACCGGCATTGGATTCAATGGATTCAGTATCAACCAACCAAGAATTAAGAGTATTAACTGATCAAAAATATCAAAAGTTGAAATATGATACATAAAAACATGACATATTCATGGCATATTCACCTGACCTCTTAACAACTTCTAAACCAAGATTTTCCAAAGTGGTCATTATGATGACCCAGGGAAGATGGAACTATTAATTATTCTTGTTATGTGATTGGATGCAGTCAGCCAGATGTTTAGATTGGATGTGGCATTTTTATCGACCTAACAAATATTTTCCAATTATTATTAATAGTAATAATTGGAACATAGGTATTAGTTAAAGTGGTATTTATTACATTATTTTCATACACTAAATGTTGGAGAGTTAATGTTCAAACTGAAGCTTTATAAGGGGATTGATGAGCTGCTCTAAATTAACAGACACTGTATCATCATAAATTTTGCGATACTACAGTCTTCCCCTACAGTCCCAGTATATCTGAAGAAAGTTAAATCAATGATTCATCCATGAAGTATTGCTTTTCATTTGTGCTGATACTGATACTGGACAACTCAAAAACTGAAAAAAGAGAAAACATTATATATTTCAACCTTATTGAATACTTCTCTATATTCATATCTCCTGTTGGTCTTATTATATTTAATATTATATTGATCAATCATTTTATCAAAATTAAACATTTCAAGCAAATAAGATTGGAACGTTTACTGTAGCATAGAAACACTTACCCCATAATCAGATACTTAAAAACCTTTTATCATTTTAGTAGCCGTAGAAACAAATACAGCTATAATCTATCATTTTTTGTCTCTTCCTTAGGAAAGGAAGCAGGTATAGATTTGAGGAGAAGATTCCATTATGCATTTCATTGAATTGCAGTTCCCTAATCATTATTAATTAGCTTTCCATGAAGCTTATTGTTTAACTCTCCTTATTCGCTTATGTTTTTATTGTCCTTTTTTTTTACTTGAAGTGGTAAGTTTTGATTATAAGCTCCTTGCAGCAAAGACTTGTGCTATTTTTAATGTTATTTATAAAATATGATGTGCAGGTTTCAGTCTTCAGGAGTATTATACAATGTATAATAAACATTAATACAAAACCAAAACTAAAGAAAAGCAAATATTTATTTATTTAGTAATTCTCAACTCTACCTGACATATAATAAATGAATACAACACAGAAACAGAAAAATAATAGCACAGCATTAAGAATCCATATCAAGAAAACAACACAATAATTACCAATAAATCAGTTCAAATCAGAATCACAAGTGAAGATACAAATCACTCTATTGAATGAGCCAAGAGTTCAAGGCTTTTCTTAAAGGGTCAAGCTATGCAAAGTTTTATGAAGAATACTGCTCTTTCAAAATGCTACAAAATGAACCAGGTCGCCAAATTGATGGCAAATTTACATTTCCATGATCCCATGAATAATGACAGTTGTTTAAAATATTTGTTATGTTTGGTTATATTTCCGAGACCAAGCAGTTAACAGAGATAACATTGTGATTACCGCTTCACAATATTGTAAATTCTATTCTAAATGTTTCTTTTCCTTTCATTTTTTCCTCCCAAGTTCTCAATTCAAGTCACTTATCCATCTCAATTCAACTCACACCTATGTGCATTGCATAAAGGAAGAAAACCCAACCCTGCCCCAATTACATCACTGGCAGGTATAAACTTGCTCTTCAGAGTTGATCAAATGAAGCTTCTTGATTTTAAGATTGAGCAATCACCTATTCAGAGAGGTGTTTTTCTTTATCAAGATGGTTTTATTTACTCAAGTCATGAAATATTTCAATCGCTATTTAAATATTTAAATTGTTTAGTTCACATAGCATATTTTCTAAGCTACAACTTTTTTCCCTCACTCAGAAAAGAGGCAACGAAAAGGGAAAAAAAAGGAAAAACTCCATTAGAAAACTTCCAAAATAAAGATGATTTGCCTGGAACCCAAACTGGTTGCTTGTTCTCAAAACTTCATAAAAGTGAAAGAAATTAAAAAGCAGACAGAAAACCATCGAGAGGCCAACATATAAATTACAGGAATCCTTTCAACTACTTCCCTGATACTTTAACTTCTTTAACAACAGCAGCAACCAAAAAAAAAAAAACTTTCTTCACAGACTTAACTGTAGGCTAGGTGAAGGGAGAAGAAAGTATTGCCTGAAAACACATCAAGCCAAATTCAGCAGAAGATAAAAATGGCTCTCAACCAAGTTAATCTGAAAAATTATTTTGGCTGGGAACAACATTTTCTTTTTTCCTTCCCTTCCCTTCCCTTCCCAGACCATGATATAACTATTTATTTCACTACTTTGCATTTAACTACATTTTAGAAAAATAAAAAGCACCTAGTAGTGAAAGGTTTATTTTAAAAATCAATCAAAAAACACATTTTGCAGTTATAATTTCAAGACTGTACAGAATTCTATTCTTGGGGTCAGACATTCCTATGAATCACTGGTGGTTTTCTCCAAGTTACAGGAAGAGCACGATAATTTTTCAGCAATACTTCTGTACAGAGTATGTACACTCTTGTGAAACTCACACATCAGCCTTTTACAGGGGTCATATAAACAAAGGGTCAGTCTCTTCTGCCAAGTTCTAATACCTGTTGAATTTTCAAGGACTTGAGATTTACTCTTTTAAAAAGGAGGAGTGCCTTGAAGCTTTTGGTTATATCTTCAGAATAATAACCAGGAGAATCTTGCATCTAAACTTTAATAGACTACTTGCAGCAATATAATTACAAAAAATTATAATCCAATGAAGTATAAAAAATATTTATGAAGCCTAGAACAAATTTTGAGTTTAGGACACATGACACACATATACCTCACCATTCAATTAAATGTGAGTCTTTAAAATTAAAAAAAAAGCTGTTCTTGCTTCCTAATAATTTTCTGTGATTGTGCTAGCCAAAAAACTGAAAACAATGGGAAGATTGACTTTGTCAAGATTGACTTTGTGCTTCTTCTGTTGACTTGTCACCTTCATTAGAGTGTTAAGCTCACCTTCCAAAGCCTGAAGTCACTAAAATGGGAAGGGGTAAGAGGAGTATTTGTTCTATTTGGGCCTCTTCCATCATTCAGCATTTAATAAGTATCAAGAGTTATTCCTGAAGCTTACATGTTTGATAACCAGGATCAGATACAGCAACGAAGCACTTAATGCACAAAAGAAAATCTCAAAATATCCTCTGAAGAAAAGATATTATTATATTAACTCACCATTTACAGTGTGACCAGAGTAACTTTATAGTGGTAAAGTCAATGAATCCCTTTAATCACGTATGAAATACAGAGATGGCAGGAAATTATACTCGCCTGAACATAACCAAACATGTGCAAAGTGTGCTCCTGAATTACAGCTCTTTCGCCATACATCCAGAAAACAGATTCCAGGCTTCAGCCCAGTCCCTTTCTTGGCCAAATTCACATGTGCAAAGTGGGTGAGTTGCTTCTTCTCTCCTCACTTACCTTTCTTTTGGTCTATAGCGGAGCTAAAGGTGCTCAACAGCAAAGCGAAGAGGACAGCAGCGGTAGGGACCCGTCTCGCCCCGAAAGATTCCTCGCCAGTAGCTGAAACTCCCGGAGATCGGTGATTCCCGTGCCCCATCCTGAGTGTATGCGGCAACAATCCGGAGCGAGCGCGCTCGGCAAAGCTAGACTGTGGTCCCAGAGCGTGAGTCTATTAGCTGGGTTTTTTCTCGGTCGCTTCCTCGCTAACTCTGCTCAGCAATACCTTTCTCTTTTTGCTTCCAGTCTCTCAACCTCTACCCATGCCGAAAGACTGAGGCAATTCCAAGATTGGGGAGCGGGGAGAAAAGGAGGAGGAGCGAAAGGAGGCTCTTTTTACAGTAGTTGCTGGCTGCGGCTGCCGCGCACTCACTCGCTGACTGAGCAAAGGAGTGAACGATCCTCGGGAAGCTGGCCCCGCTCCGCGTTCGCGCAAGGGGCAAAGAAGCTCGCGCCCTTTTGCAGGAGGGGCTAACAATACAGTAAACACCGTGCGAGGAACTCCCAACCGAGCCGCACGCACGACACGAAGATATCCGCGTTCCATCAATCCTCCCCCTCTTCTTTGCTAAGCTTACAAACAAAACTTTTTCCTCCTAACGCACATCGCATACACTTCCTCTTGAGCAGTGGGACAAACCAATGAAAAATAAGAGGCGGAACTATAAGAAAGAAAAAAACACTGGGTGTGGGGGAGAGAGGCTCTATCTGCGTTGCCTTCAGGTGGTTTTGTACCTGTCCAGTGCCGGTGATGGGAAGGGCCAGAAATTCCTGTCCAGCTGGCTGAGCTGAGGAATACGCATGTGCGCTTTCCCGTGCACTTTTAGGGGGCCACCGCCCATGGTTTGGTTTATCTGCTGGTGTCACAGGGACGGCGCTACTGATTTACCTGCGGCTGCAGCTTTCCCGCTGTTCCAAGAAATGAGATTAAATCTGTGCTGGGGGGCGGGGGGGAGCCAACATGTCCTTACGCAATCTGTACCTTGGAGGAAAGCTGTAGCTAAGTGAAGGGAAGTCAGGAAACAAGTTTACTGTCCAGAGCAGCTTGTGCAACTCCTTGGCCTTTTACTGGATTCCAGTGAACTTTTGAAGCCATTCCTTTGTATAAAAATAAAATCTTGTTAGATCTCAAAGACTTAGAGGTCTTTCAATTGCTTTGTTCTTGAACTAGCAGAAAATTACAGTGATGCAAATTTGTTTGGCAATCCCTATTTTATTACAGACAGAATACCAGCAAATTGTACTGGTGTTATTAATGTATGGAGGCCAAAGGACTGAGATTTGTTGGATTACCCCTGAAAATTATTTTTCTCCCATTCTGCCAGTCTACTAGAACATTCAAAAAGAGCCTAAAATATTATTTGACATTCCAAGTAGTCTAGGACACCAGAGCATCTACAATTAAAAGCAGCCCTAACAAAAGCTGGCAGATATGACAAGGCTGTGTCACGAAGAGACAGAGAGAAAGCCCTCTCATGCTTCAGGAAGTCCCACCTTTGCCACCATTGATATGTGATGTTGAGACTAATTTAACACTCTGGATTGATTAAGAGAACTAACATGTTGAGGGGAGGACTATTTATCTTGAAAAGACCAGAGATTATCATGACTCCCAAGATAGAAGGGTCAGGAAGTTAATGCCCATTAACCAAAGGAAAAGTGTAGCTAACGAGATGGGTAATCAATAGAACTGATGACAAAGTGGATCAGATTTTATCTGTGTAATCATTTTTCTGACCCATTCTTGCATTCTTTTCAGATATCATTTCATTGGACTTGATTTGTAAAACAGATCAATTTTTTTCAATCTTTGTATATTTGCAATGGATAAGCAACTTTTCTTCCAGTAGCTCTGCAGCTGCTGACCCTAGCTCCTCAACCAGCACTCCTGAGTTGTGTGACCCATTTATCACCAGGTTTCCATATAGTGCAACACTAATACAATCCTTATTGATCAAGGACCATGACTAATCTGGTAGGTAAATTACATCTCACCATGCTATTATTATATGCCTGTTTCTGAATCTCATTACCAAAGTTTCAATACACACACAGAGAGAGATACATACTGCTTTTCCAAACCCATTGTTTATTGAAGAAGACTGAACTAGAGAAGCTAGGAAACCCTGTTTTTGTGTTATCTTACCATATTTTATATGGTATATTTATATATATAAATATATTTATATTTCATAATGTTTTCACTATGTCCAAATATATTGTTTGCTCAGCCTTAAAATGGTTATTAATGACTAATAAAAATGGCAGCATCAGATTCATGATCCAGTTCTTGATTTGCTTGAAATCATATTTTAACACTTATCCAGTTCATCAATTGAGGAGGGTATATGTAGCATAGAATTTGCTACCTTTCATGCTTTTCATTTGGATATGAGAGTTGCCTGTGTACCTTTATCATACTCAGGAAACTTTTTATTAGGATATCCAGCAAGATTATTCTTTTTGTAGGCTTTTTCCACTGTGCATTGTTCTGACAGATTATCAGCAAACAGAAGTAAATAAGGATGGATTAGCGAACAAAATGTCTCCTAGGCTGTTCACCACAATCTGCATTCAAAAGTATTTGTCTCTAGAGACAGGTTGTGTTTCAAAGATATTATGAACTAACTTGATACCTGTGCTTCACTCCAAAACTATGTGGTTGGGCTTAGTTTTGTGGGAGGAAAATAAGGGGTGGGGAATTCTGCCTCTGCCTACCAGCATCCATCGGTATTCATCTGTCTAGCATCCTGTCAGAAGGAGACAGCAAGGAGCCTGGGCATGGCTTAGCTTAACTGTTCTGTACTAAAGCTGCTTGGTGCTATAAAACTGAAACTGCAACTCCTCTCTTCTGCTTGTGTTTTGCATTTGGAATAGATTTCTTTTCAGGTGGGGAGGGGGAATAGAACTCCTTAGCATGAGCGCGTGTTAATAATAAAATACGAAATATTAATGCTCTGATGGTCATTTCAAAAACCACTTCCTTAGTCAGTACCTAGAAGCCCAGGGGAACATACTTGCCAAATTTCAAATTTGTAGGCTTTATGGTTCTGGAGATTTTGTGATAATGCCTGAGTGGAATTTTGCTTTTTTGTATATAGATTAGGAATAAGTGCTATTTATCTAATTTATATAACTGCCCAAATAAGTGACTGGGAAGTTTTCCCTGGCAAGACTGAGATTATTTTAAAATGAATTTAAAATGACAAATTACAAGAATGGAAAATATTCTATAGTGAACATACTAAACAAATTGGTACAAAATAAACTGGATCATATCTTAATTATTAAAGGGATATACAAATTACAAACCAAGAAAGTGATCTGGATAATTTTCTTAAATTTCCAAAATAAGCTTGTTAAAGACTTGAAGGATCTTGTAAGAAGGAGCAAAGAAGAAGTGAAAAGATATCAAATTTTAGGGCATTGTTTGAAGTGACAAAAGATCAAGATTATTAGAAGTAAAAGGAATGCATACAAAGTTGATTTATTTGATCAAGAGTAAAAGAGATACGTTATCTCTGGTAAACTCTAATATCAGGAGTGAAATTACTATGCTTTATGGGTTTGCTTATAAATAAGGGATGGGATATGTGAAGAACAGATCATTTTATTTTAAGAGAAAGTGATTAATTACTAAAATTGCTTATATTTGTGATGATTTCACAAAAGAGTGAAACAATTTAGCACCCTTCCTCAAATCAATTTGCTGGCTCAAATTTTGAGAGAACCTATTTCACTTCCCTCTCCTCATCAGGAAACCATTGTTCTTTTAGTGTTCTTTTAAATGCTGATGCAATATACTCTCTAACCCTTGAAACAGAGCCTCTGTCCTAAATCCCAGACCTGTACAATACTAGTTAGGTGGATTGTATGCAACCCACCAATCTTTTTTTTAAGGAACACATGTAGAGATATTCCACTCCTCAAAAGATATATTGCTAAGCATCTTTTAAGTTTTGCTGTGGCACATCAATTACTCCACTGGCAGTAGAACAACTGATCAGCAGTCCAGGTACTTAGTTGTGGCCCACAAGGATTTGTAATTTAGGAAAGTGATCCATTTATTTTGATGAATTGGGCAGGCCAGCTTATCTATTATTGTGGGGAGTATAAATTTGGCATATTCAGAGACTGCCCTGATTTCCAGCATGAAGAAGTGGAAACAGTAGCGAAGACATGTTACTACCAAAGCCAATATACTGTCAAGCGCAATTGGTACTTCGCTGCTTGTTATGGAAATAACTCTGTGGTACAATGACAATTTTCAGAAATAGGATCATGAGCCTCTACTATATGATATAAGATTTACTATTTCTACAGCTAAGCTCTATAAGGACAGTTCAATCTATATTTATATATTTTTCATGGTGCATCAAAAATCCCTCCTGAAATGGAAATGAGGCCTAATTTCAATGAAGACTTATCTGGTTTTGCAGCTTAAAATACTGGACTAAATTATTATTTTTTAGGCAGCATTCTAAATACCTTGACCTTGAAAGTCAACTTTATGTCTTCATAGGAAGACAGGTATTAGCATAGATGTAAAACATTGTTCTTTGATCCTAAGAACTGAAACGAAACACTGTTGATACCAATATTCAAGCACAATCTTAAGCAAAATTTCAACATTTACATGTGCAGACCAGTTTGGGACACTATTCTCCCCTGCCAACTATTTCGAAAACATTTATTGTACCAACATGAAACACCTTGTGGGATTCATTTATTTTTTTTTACTACCAGTTCTGTGGGCGTAGCTTGGTGGATGTGGCAGAGGAAGGATACTGTAAAATCTCCAGTCAGAGGTGGTATTTTCCAGTTCTCCAAACTACGCAAAATTTCTGCTACCGGTTCTCCAGAACTGGTGAGAACCTGCTGAATACCACCTCTGTTGTACCTTCACTACCATAGTGCTTAGCTAACTTTATTATGACAAGATGGAAGATTCAATAATATATCCCAGAGGAATTTATTTTTTGGTGGAAATAGAAACAGTATCCAATATGATCCTGGACTGTCTCTGGTCATATATTTTAGCAAATAGACAATGCTATTCTCCTATTCTTATGCCAGCATGGAAAAGAAGATTCTTCTATGTGGTCAGGTCACCAGGTGTTTCTAGAAGAATTCCTACTTTTGTTGAAACTCTTACGATGTTAGATCTGGTGATGTTGGTATTTTTTTAAAAAAATATTTTTATTGTACATTTTCCAACATTTACACTACATTTCCAATCTTTAAAGTGTTTCAGTATCGGTATCACTCATAGTTACTTATTACTATTTTCATTTTTCTTCCTTTCCTCTTATATACTATTCTTATACACTGCTCAAAGAAAGAAACGGAACACTTAAACAACACAACATAACTCCAAGTCAATCACACTTCTGTCCACTTAGGTAGCAACATTGATTAACAATCAATTTCACATACTGTTGTGCAAATGGAATAGACAATAGGTGGAAAGCATAGGCAGTTAGCAAGACATCCCCAATAAAGGAGTGGTTCTGCAGGTGGTGACCACAGACCACTTCTCAGTTCCTATGCTTTCTGG